TATATATATATATATTTATATATATTTATAATTATATCTATAATATTATTTATAATTATATATTATTATCATATATATTGTATATTATAACTATTGTACATTACGTTTATCGCGAGAAACATTAATTTTACGTTGGAATTAAAATGTTTATCACGTACCACTTGGACCAGCTGCAATTGAAGTTCGGGTCGTCCTAAGGACACGAACAAGCCTAGAAAGAGCAAAGCCACGAACAGGCTTAGCAAGAGCAAAGACACTCGCAGAAACACGCGTGGCATGTTCACACGACCGAAACACACTGTGATGATACAAATTCAGAAGAGAAGAGAAAGAGAGATGGCTCTTCGAACGAACGCGTCAAATCCTTGGTATCAAAGGCGACGCACAGTTCGTTTAAATAGTTTCGCGAATTGACTGACCAACGCGCGACACTGGAGACACTCGTGATTGCATAAAAACGATCTCTTTATCTAACTCATGACGCTCAAGATATTGATTGCTAATTATTGCTCGGTTTTACGACTCATGAATGGATCGAGCGCAGGAAAGCGATCGAAAAGACGAAAGGTGACCGGATCTTGTCACATCGAATTATGCTCATTTCCACTTTCCGTCGACCTGTTCACTCGCACAGCAAATATTTCTTCAAAGTTACTCGGATGTATTAACACGTTGACTGCAATATTCTTTAGATATAATTGACGCATAAGGGCATAGAAAAACGTAAACAGTAAGAACGGAAGCGGTAAGAAAATTGGCCAATCCCAGGCGAAGATTCTTCGACCTTAAGAGGAATATTCGACTGTAATTGGTGAATTGGTGATTACTGCTTAAGTCTTATTCTTAAACTTACGTTTCTTTGCGCGTTTTGTCGCGTCGCCTACAAATTGGTGACGGTTTTATTCTATGAGGAAGAATTTTACAAAGTTCGCGTGCACAAGAGCGATATATTATCATGAATGTAACACGAGTAAATACAAAATACGAATAATATAACATAAATAAAATAAATACAAGTAAACACGAAATCATGCAAATTCATTAAATTACAATTATCTTGGTCTTTGAAACAGCAGCTTGTGGTAAAATCGCGCTACTCGATATTTTTCGTATGAGATTCAAATAGCCCGTGCCATTCGTACAGATAAAATTAGATAAAAGATCAATCGTTCAATACACGTGGGATAGTAGGAATGCCGTCCAGTAATCTGTTTTTGTTTACTATACGTACGATAGCGAAAAATGTTGCGATAACTCGTTTTTCAGCTCACATGCAATTTTAATGCGGTGGTCAACGGTCAATTGTGCGATATATTGAGATATTCCGGTCAATTTGTTTTCCCTTCTTGCAAATTCTCCGGATTTTCCTTGGGAAAATTTGCATTCTCTTGCGACAGAAAAACCGACGAGGTACTCGAACGTTCCACACGTGTCGCGATGTTACATACATCTGCTTGTTTCGTAAACAATCGCTTTCGGGTGACTTCCTGAATCGAAGCCTGAGGTACAAACGTCACGTTTCTCCATCCCTAAAGTAGTCTCATCGAACTCGCACGAAACAATTCGTTTATATATATAAATAAAAGCGGATAATTCGGTAGTCAATCGCATCTGAATGATTCAATCATTTGCGTCACTGTAAAATCCGTGATTGGCTTTCAATAGGCCCAATATTTAATTATTTCCGTAGCAGATACGAGGCATAATACAAAGTAAGTTTGATTTTTTCATAAGTTTGGCAACGTCCGATGTCCGATAGGAGATTTTGTTCCACAATCATTCTCAGGAGATATATGTTCCTGGTTGGATATGAGTTGCGCCATTCATCAAAGAAAAATATCGCGACCTCTTTGTAACTGACTATATTATCGCGCTATCGTGAGTTTACGAAACTTTTAGATAATTTTAGATAATTTTAACGACTTACAAGGCCTTTTTTTGCATAATAGAAAGTTGTATTCATTCCCGAACAAACAAAACTAAATTCCAAAACATGAAGTGGAGCAAGTAGTAAACATGACGCACTGAGAGTCGATCAAAGACGACCGCTATTGAGAATCGCTTTTCGCAGATCGCCTTTCGATCGTGTTTTTACGTGTATGTTGCGGACGCAGATACATGTTAAAAAGACGTGACGTAAACATTTTACATTATCGGCCTGCGCAAGTAGATAGAGGTATGCGCGCTAATCATAACCACCGGGACGATCGAGCGCGTGTGTGCGTGAGCGTGCGTTGCATCATGCGCTTATTATTCACTAAGCCATTGCCGAGTTATCAGAGTCGATTGAATTATTTGCCGAATTCAAAATTATCACGGAAAGAATAGGCCAACGCGACATATATGTATATACATGAACATATGCTTGCAATTATGTCAACTTCGCGATTTGACGTGGTAGCACGCGAGCGTTGGATTATTTCTGTCACGTCACTTCAGTTAAAGCATTATCACTTTGGTCATGAAATAGTATAAGTAATAATGATATCGGTGCGATAAGAAGAATAAATCAACACAACGTTATGCAAGTGATGATATGAAGTTTGAGTTCAACGTAACGTTCAGAAGAAATATCAAACATATTCGACGCTTTTTTCCCAAGAGGTCAGCTCGTAGGAATTCGATACTAAATATGTGCATTCTCATCACTTATCTCTTTCTTACTCGAGAAAACTACTTGAAAACTCGATCTTTACGCCCGGGATAAAAAACAGATCATACACATCAAATTTGCCTATATATAATCATATATGTCCACGATGCAAAAATACTGTTGTTTACAAATTATATGCAAATACGATCGAAGTGAATGCATCTCGCTACTTGCTACTTCATACAGCACATGATATATCGACATTTAATTAAATAACACATCAGTTTTTTCGTATGGACATGTATGATCATATATGTAATCACATATATGGGCAAAATTCATATATGATTTTATGTAATTATATATAATCATATATAATCATTTTCTTCCGGGTGTTACTCGTTTTCGGACATCGCTCGCAGTATATTATTTTATTACTTTAAGACTTGGCAAGTTGCATGGCGATTGGCGAGCGTATCAATGAAACGATCGTTGTCAAATTTGTAGCTACAAACTAATATGATTTCTTTTTTTTTGTATATACTAGCGTTAACCAATGATACTAATTGGAGATTTTAAAGCGAGGTGAACGAACGAGTGACAATGAGTGCATTATCGCGGCAATCGATAACCATCGATCATCGAGTGGCCTTCGTCAAGGACTTGGTGAATGATTATATTGTCTTGCGATAACGTACTATGAAAAGAAAAAAAATGACGTGATATGACGCATATATGAAGTGATGCACCTCCTCGCTGACATTTACATACTCTCGTCGCAAACCGCCGCATCGAGTTCGTTCTCCGTGCAATATTGCGCAATCGTGACGGCGTACAATACGGAGAAAAGGAAAACGGTGATACGTTGGGCCCCGATGAGAGGATAAACGCGTAAAAAACGTCGCGTACGCGCAATCACAGGGCGATCCATCGCGCATAGTCTCGCCGTTTGCGTAACGAAGAGGTTTAACGGAAATATCGTGAGAGATTACTCCCAGAGAAAGAAAGAGAGAGAAAGAGAAGGAAAGAGAAAGAGAGAGGAAAGGAGAGACATGTTAACGCGTCGGCATCAGGAAGCGTACTGATCGAAATCCTCACCGTAATCGTCGCCGTTAGTCCGGTCTTAGCCGTCTGCAGTTGCGCGGAATGCAATTTATACAAAGCTTCCCGAGTCACGTAACTCCGGCGAAGTTGCGTCACGTCGAGGAACGTTCATTACATGTGTATCGTCTCTGCTGCCTGCGATATTCCGCAAGCGCGCCAGCGAATTCGTAAATAATAATTATTTCGATTTCCAATTCGGCGGAGGTAGACGTACGAAGGAAAATTTAAATCGCGCCAATTGAGCGATTTAAATCCTTCTAAGGCTAAGTTTGTCTCGCATACTTTCGTGCCTAAAACATCGTTCTGTCTTTCTTCGGTATATGTACATGTGAAAGAAAGAAATTGAAGCTTCGCAAAATATATATTTCTCATGACATTCACTTCGATATTTATCGATTGGGAAAAAATTTCATTGTAATGACGAAATATGTATTTTTGTGAAATATACCTAAAAGAGTTTTCTTATTGAACGGTTTATTTGCTATGAATAACATTATATTTCACCGTATTTATAAATAAAAGTTTATTTCTCTAAAATACGTTTTATATCTCACAAATAGATTTTTATGTCTTCCTTCTCAATGCAATGATAAATAAAAATAAAACAATACATTTTCAGCACGAAAGCGTATAAGACAAACGTGGTCTAAATAAAACGTCACCTTCCGTCTATCTTCCACCTTGACCTACAAAAATTGAAAAAATAGAAAATAGCAAAAAAAATGGATGCCAACATCACACGGTGTTCCCAGGTGGTCACCCATCCAAGTACTA